TGAAGAACATGGATATAAGTTCAATTTTCGTTCAGCACGCTTGGATTTCCACACAGCAATGGTCCTTACAGGTGGCACCTTCAACGATAAAAATGTGCGGAAGGTGAAAAAGAGGTTTAATGTCACATGGAATGACTTCGTCGAGCGCGTGGAGGTGGCAGATGTCATGAAGCGTGAGCGAATTACCATCTATATGTCCATCGCATTGCTCATCATTCATCACATAAGTGAATGCAGATGAGAAGGCATATCATGACTTGATATGCGGCAAGGATGAGAACATGTGTGGTCTCGACGTTTTTTCTACTATCACACATAGCAAGGAGTCGAGCGATATGATCGAGAGATTTATCAAGGATAGGAAGTCTGCGTGGGCAGCGAAGAATTTTATCGATCTTGAACACGAAGAACAGCAGGAAGGAAATAGAAATACGAAGGGAAAGCAGGCCATCCGTCCCGCAACTGATGTGAGTTTTCTACACATGCGACAGTAAATCTTCTGGAATAGATACTGAATGTTGATTTGACTAGGACGCTGTAGAGAGAAAGAAGGGGAAAATTGTTGTCCGCACTACGAATGAGGTAGGTACATACGGAAGACTCGTATTTAATATGCTAAATAATGTCGAAGCATCAGATAATATCAGAACAAGAGGGTGGCGCCATGAAGAATAGTAAACACGGTGTCCAGAACACAGCGGCGGTGAGTACCTGCATACCGCCCAGGATAATAGTCACCACATATCCCTTGCAGGTTACAGGAAACATTCAGGACTATGGGGCTGCAAATGTTTTAGCAATTCCCAAAGGAGAAGGCGACGGAATGAGCGACACCGAACATGAATTGGAGCAATTGGACACTTTGGCGATATCATCAAGCTATCAAAAAGACGACGATGCTTCAGAGGCTTTGACTAAAGTGATGGAGTCAGTGGGCGCTCCAAGGAAAACGAAACAGAAAGTGAATCACGGTACGAAATCTGTAGATGTGGTCAAAAACGAAGCAACGCATGTAGTTGCAGGAAGAGCTGGAAAAAAGTCGTCTAACACAGTCACGAACGAGGAAGAATTCAAGCTGGCAGCCTTCACAAGTATCGATGCAGGGCAGGGCCGTCAAGCAAAAAACGTGAGCTTTTGATCTGAATATGCAATAGGGAAACATATAATCACACATGATGGGATATTTCGAAGGCGTTTCTAACGGCAGCTTTGGTTGATGACACGCAAAGCCTGATGATGCGAGCCATGATAGAAGGAGATGGACAAGACATCAGCAAGAAATTGATAGTCTGGATGATACAACGATTTCGCACACTCGTTGGAGTCCCACTAGATGCGCCCCTCAACGGCCAACTCATCACACAGTCACCTGATGAATACCACGAACTGACGGAGAATGACTACTTCGAGGCACTTGGGATAGAAAGACTGTATGCTGCATTGGTCAATGCAGAGAAGAGCCCTGAACATCTGATTCATCTCGCACATGCTCTTGGGAGGGCAGCCAAGGAGACAAACATATTATCCGATTCTAAGCCAGAAACACCGTCCTTAGACCCCCTACCCCCCACGACGTTGCCGCGTGCCACTACGTCACGCATGAGCACTATTCCGTTCAAAAATAACATCGAAAGTAAGCATCATGCTTTTCATTATATTCAAGATGATCAGCGGAAATCCACGTATGTTGATGTTTGTGCCACGACAGACCAGTCAGTACCTGACAGCTTCACTAGAATGAAGGATACGCACATAGATGATGGACCCGTGTCGGATCAGGGGAAGGCAGAAGGCAAGTCAGCATATGACACTGAAGACCGTGGCGATCGCAATACAGGAGATTTTGCAGCAGATGCAGATGAGGATGATGTATCCATGTCTGACAACGTGCGCAATGCGAGCCAGGTTTCTGAGCTTCATGGAGTTCACACTCCCACTAATCACACTATAATTAACGGCGTCACAACAGAAAAGCTAGATGTTACCCAGGACGTACCAAGGCAGGATAAGAATAACATGAACATTAACTCCTCGAACGTTTCCACGGATTTGATGGACACGGAGGCGGTAAACGATGGAAAAAGCGCCAGTAACAATGGGAATTCGAGTGTGGGCACACCCAGAGAAGGGAAAAGGAAAAAAGAAGACTCGGTGGCATTTTCTGGTACAAAGGTATTACCAATATCTGTCGAAATGTCGAACTGTCGAAAATCGATCTCACTCACCATTCATACCAGGATAAGAGGCGGAGAGGAAATATAAATCACTCGAACCCTCTGTCCTCGACATCTCGCATGTAAGGAGAAACATCGAGATCGAGATGCTTGCATCACCTAACATAATGATATCGCCGCAAGATGCGAGACTTGTTACTAGATAGGTGTGGTTTTTGCTGTACCTCTGGCCACATTTTCCATGACGGTAAACATCTGGCCAGTGTACTATCGGAATAGGGCGTACTTCAATCATTAATACCGATTCTCCTTTCCAGTAAGGACTAGTGTCATACCACGTGGTGTTGAGACGTCTGCTGCAATCGACGAGTTAAGTGAGAGACCTAACACAGGCCAGAGGAGAAGTCCGGCTGCATAAATGGTGTGCCAAACCACTCAATGTAAGCTAAAGCTTTGGAATATGTCCTAAACTGACGAGGGAGAGTGAATATGACACGGATTTGTGCGACTCTCACACCCACAGCGTCTATGTAATTTCCTGACAGCCTCAAACAACGGTCACTTACTTGCATCACAAATTAAGTCTAAGGCAGTCAATGCAGCGAAGGCAAAGGACCCGTTTGAAACATTCAAGTCCAACATTATATATTTGTTCACGTGACAGTGCGCTCAAATTACATAATAATCCTCATACTTACCTGTGAACGCCAGTCGATCCTATTCACGCCTCCCACTTCCATTGCACCAAGACACGCACATCCACCTCACTTACCGGATGAATGCAAATAATCCTCGCAAGAAATGCTGGGAGCGGTCGAGGCCAAGTCATTCAGACCCTCATTTGGTAAGTACAAGAGAGAGGCAGGGCGACAGCCAGTCACGATGTATGAACTTTCATCTTAGCATTTAAATCATATCTAATCATTACAGCCGTCCTCTCTCTCGCCTTCGAGTAATGGGTCGCATGAAATACGTTCAGAGTCAATTTTAAAGCTATTTTCAAGGCGACCAAGGGCTTCGCTCGAAGCGCTCGACAATCCCCATACTCTGAGCCCATGGCTGCAAGTTCCAGCTTACAGGATACTCAACTTGTTCAGTTAACTACACAGTGAATTTTCCCCGTGTGCTATAATTGGTACTAATCGCTTCTGCAGGATATCACTCCTCCCACCCTCGAACCAAATTATGGGCAGTCTTCCAACTCAGGGATCGTACAAGTGAGTTCGGCTAACGAAGTTCAGAAATTTTCATCCATCTCTTTCGACAGTGTGTTGACGTCTACACTCACATCGAACATCTCGACCCAAAGGCTGTGCACGAAAGAATCGTCAATGCTAATAAATGTCTCGCAGATGCCGGCCACATCCCAACAATACTCCAATATACTTCTTCCGCGACCAACAACCTGCCATCTGACGAAGGTGAGCAGCGCAAGAAGAAGCGCAAGGCTCATATGGACACTAATGCAACGGAAAAGCCGCAAAATCTCACCTGGAAAGATGCTCTAGCTTGCATCAAGTTCAAGAGAAAGACGGCGGGGAGGACGAAAGGGATTAAGCCACCCCCCTCTGCGTATACATTGAAAGACTAAGCCCCCACCAAACTGGAAATGTAGGTCTATCATGGATGTAACACGCCTATCTGACGGCTTGTATGTTTGCCTTAAAATAGTCAAGAAGTCGGAGTATCCTGATGAGGCAGACATTGGACTATATTTCATGTCGGACAAACTTGCGTCTGATCCCAATAAAAATTGCGTTATTCCGAAAGACCAAGCTATCGGAGTTGGTAAGGACTATGGAAGGTGGTTAAGGACTTGTGTACTCAATTACGCTGCAGCCTTCACATCCTGAAAAAAAATTGTCAAGAAAAATCACTCTAAAAGAGTCACTGACGTTGAGTATAAGCAGCAAATAGGTCAATGTCTCTTTCTCCCGGAATAAAATCGCTGTCTTGCTTCCACACGGAAGGACTGTTTATCTCGCACCAATACATCACGAGCGCATTGTTATGGGAGAAACACCTGTGGACACACGTTTCTGATCATTTCATAGATAATTTCGATAGAAAAATGACTCGATGGAACATCCGTAAGCCCGACTAGTAGGTGTACATCCGAGAACATGGAATTATCACCTCAGTCGCATAGCGAAGTCTGTAACGGCTGAATGTCAACAAGGAAAAAAAATCGGCGAATACGTACACCATTTGCTCTTGACCTGCTCGGACTACGTCTGACAACACAACAACCTGAGAATGTCGCTAGGAACGAAAGCATATAACGTGAAACACATTTTAAACGTGGCCAGCTACCTGAAGTCACTGCTCAAATATATAGCCAACACGAGAAGATTCGCCTCGGTCTTCGGAGACGTAGTTTTACTCAAAGAAAAGAACAACGAAAGCAACTATAAGAAAACATCGCTCCCACATACAAATATATTAACATCCGTATCACCTTCAGTTGGTGTCACCTTCCGCGCTCCAGCCAGGATCAACATACAACACCTTACACTCGCACGTACGTACAATTTAACCACAATAGATACAACAATGTGCATGGCTCTTCCCCAATGGACAATAAACAAGGATTCAAAAAATGGAATCATCAGACGTGAAATTGTACAACAGCAGTGAGAGTGGTGCAGAGGGAAGTACAGGAGTATTGTAGGCGTGGCTATGGATTCATCCGCAGGTCTCAGCGAGAGTATCTTGACGTTGACGTGTTTGGATATCCAAAATAAGACCATGCTATTCAATGTGGAGCGCTTGGATATATCATGTGAAAGATACAGGAGAAATATCTGCATTACGATTATAGTACAGAAAATTACGTTCAATGCAATGATGTACAACAATCGTCGCATCAGCATCAAAGTGTGGTATTAATGGAACGTCAAAGTGTGGTGGTAATGGAGCATCAAGGTGTGGTGACAGTGGAGCGTCAAAGTGTGGTGACAGTGGAGCGTCAAAGTGTGGTGGTAATCACAACAATCCACAAATGCGCTCATCCACATATGGACTGGAAAAGTGCATCAAGATGTAAACCTCGATATAACATAAGCAAATTGTATAAAGTCCATCACAGTCCATCACACTTGTTACGCATCCATCACAATCCATCACAAATCCGTACTTCAATACACAATGCCTCCTATGACGCGAGGACAGGCTTCAAAATTAGTTGTCACCAAGCGGCGCACGGCACAAATGATGCGTGAGCAACGAATGGTAATTTTTCCTTCGTCCAACTTACTTTTCCTAAATATGTCGATTAGAGTGATCGTTTGAAGACACTCCACGCAGACGCACCGTTCCGCGGTACTCGTAGCGGACGAAATGGCATGCAAATGCTGCCGGTTGGTGTGATAGATGCACGCCAGCCGGAGATCAACGATCAACCCCGCCCCAATATGACCGATCTGGTGAGTTTTTTTCTTTTTCTTTTTTGATTAATATATGACGCTATTTTGTACTCAATAGAACGCTCAAGATATTGCCGTCGACGTGCGGTTGGAGCAAGCAAGTAATTTCAAGATAGAGCCTGCTGAGGAGAAGATAGGAGCGAATGTGAAGACAGAGTTCATTGATGAGACGATGGAAGAGAAGATGGGAGCGATCGTGAAGATAGAGCCGAGTGAGGACGACAGGGCATTGTTGATTGTGAAGATAGAGGAGGGGATGGCAGTGATTGTGAAGATAGAGCCTACTGAGGACATGTGAGGGGTTGTAGAGGAAGAGATAGTAGATGAGCCTTCGGCCATAATAAACATACAATGATGTAAATATATGTCACGAGCAGCATGGGGCACACTACCATACGACGTCGTGGTCGTACGGTCGTATAACTAACCTGATGTCGTACGGTCGTACAGTGGTAAGGTCGTATGGTCGCACAGCGTTCAACATGAAAGTCATGACACCCCTCCTAATTGAATGGAGGTCGTCACAAAGGAATATGATCGAAAGTTGCCATCAGGGAGATGATAGCGCGCACGCATGCTAACAGGATTTTTCATGAAAAAAACAAAGAAGCAGTCCGAGTCAAGGATAGTCCATCTACAGGAAACGAGATTTTTAGTTCCGAGTCATCGACAAACAGCACGCGCGCATGCTAATGCAATTTTTGATGAAACATGATGAGCGATGCCAGGATGAAAAAACAGCAAAAATCAAGGAAAGTCGAGTCAGTAGGAAACAAAATTCCGTCCTCCACCGATGCATCACCACAGACAAGGAAGACTACGATAGCAGGAAAACGACGCAAAGCCAGACTACGATACGAAGCAAAACTACGATACGAAGCAAAACAGCAAAAACAAAAGCCAAGACTACAGGACGTCCCCCCGGTTAGAAACGTCTCGGCTTGGTTAGAACTGTCTCGGCTTGGTTATCTAGCTTAGGTCAGCAGGAACGTATTGTCTCGGTGTCTCGTTTCTCGGCATCACCACAAGGGAGACTACGAAATAAGTCAAAGCCACCGCAGAGCAAGACCACAGTCAGAATATTCAAGCAAAGTCAAGGGATAAAATCACAAAAAATAACAAAAATCGATCAAAATGAAGTCAAGTCGAAACGAGGTTCTGTCCTCGCCCGACGCAGACTACGAAATCGAATACGATCCCATCGATCAAGAAAAGTCAAGGAGACAAGAAAGCGACCGCAGAGCAAGATCACAGGTCAAACATTCAAGAAAAGTCAAGGGATGAAGTCACAAAAATAACAAAAATCAAGCAAAACGAAGTCAAGTCGAAACGAGGTTCTGTCCTCGCCCGACGCAATGCCAAGAAGGGAGACTACGAAATCAAGGAAAGTCAAGCGATAAAATCACCAGAAATCACAAAAATAAAGCAAAATGAAGTCAAGTCGAAACGAGACTCTGTCCTCGCCCGACGGATCACCACAAGCAAAGACTACGAAACAAGAGACATGAAGACAGCAACAAAACAGCAAAGATCAAGCGAAATGAAGTCGAGATTCCATCCGACCGCCACCATCAGGAAGACCACCGAGGGGAACGCCCAGACCACGACCGTCAAGGAAAAATCAACACGATCCGATAGACTACGACAGATCATCTCTCATCAAAAGGTCACCACAAGAGAATCATCATACGCATGCGCTAATTTCAAAAAACAGGAATTTCAGCACACACTAGAGGGGATGCGCCCACCCATCCAAGGCAACTAGAAATGAAATTTCGCACCACTCCGAAGCATGGCCCCAGAGAAGGACCAGGATGACCGATACTAAGACAGCGATAAAACAAGAAAACAAGCAAAATCAAGGAAATACGAGACAGACGCAAAGCCAGACTACGATAGGAAATAAAACAGCAAAAATCAAGCAAAATCATGGAAACATGGGACAGACGCAAAGCCAGACCACGATAGCGAATAAAACAGCAAAAATCAAGGAAAGACTAGACAGACGCACAGCCAGACTACGATAGAAGGCAAAACAGCAAAAGCAACCGCCCCCCCGGTTAGAACCGTCTCGGCTTGGTTAGAAACTGTCTCGGCTTGGTTATAAACGTCTCGGCTTGTTTAGCTAGGTTTGGTAGGCAGGAACGTATTGTCTCGGTGTCTCGTATCTCAACAACAGAAGCAATACGATGAGATGCAATAGCGCAGGACACGATACGATACCACACGACACGCAAGACTACGACAGCAAAAATCAAGAGAACAAGAGTCAGACCACGACATCAAGAAAGACGATAATAACACGCATGGATGCTAGCTACGATTCACAAAGAAAAAATAAGAATCACTATAGTCACAAAAACAGAGACGATTGCATACGCGCACGTTAACGACGATCGACAAGGAAAAAAAGAAGAATCACGATCATCACAAAAACAGAGATAATTGCATACGCGCGCATCAACGACGATTCACAAAGAAAATATGAGAATCACGCTAGTCACAAAAACAGAGATAATTGCATACGCGCGCATCAACAAAGATTCAGAAAGAAAGAATAAGAATCACGATAGTCATAAAAACAGAGATAATTGCATACGCGCACGTTAACATCATTTCTCAAGGAAAAGATAAGAATCACGACAGCACGCACCACCATCTCATCCCACAAGATCAACACGCTTACTTACTACGGACACTCGCTGCACCACCATACGACCCCATCAGTTTAAATCAGTTCGATGCTTGAGGCAATCGACGACCATGACATCATGCACTCACATCGGCTGCCGTCGATAATACGGGCGCACCTAGTATCGCATTAATGGCGGTGCTCTGGCCAACTCCAGTTCTTCCGATGAATGCGAACTTCCTTGGCTGAAGCTCACTATCACCGAGTGTCTGTGCCTCTATCTTCCATCGTCCCAGGTCCTTGTCATAATCCTCCCGTCCTCTGGAATCAGCATCAGCTATCTCCGACTCCTGCTCCAGTTTCTGATTCGCAGCGCATATTATTTCGTAACACCTATCTATTTGGTCCGACGGGCGCACCCCTGTAAACGTCACCCCGTCACCCCAGCCGCAAATGGAAGTCCATCACGTAAGTGGCTGTCCGTCACCCCACCTTTTTTTTTCCCATCCGCCATTTTTTGCCCTTGGCGCTGTCAGCGTCACCCCTTCTTTTTCCCATGAGGTGTCGTAAGTGGCTGTCCGTCACCCTCGCTTCTTTTCCCATCCGCCAATATGTCCTCTTGGCACTGTCCTTGGTGCTACAAGCGTCACCCCGTCACCCTCGCTTATTTAGACCCATAGGCGTCACCCCGTCACCCTCCCTTATTTAGATCTATAGGCGTCACCCCGTCACCCTCGCTTATCCAGTATCTTGGGCATCACCCTCCCTTATTTAGATCCATAGGCGTCACCCTCCCTTATCCAGGCGTCACCCCGTCA